CTGTTGATTTTTCAGATTTTTTTTTGTAAACCTTAATACAATATTATAACATCACACTATCTACTCAGTTTGCTTCATCGAAATCTTTGTTCCTGGATAATCGTCGCCTTGTTTTGGTTGCAACGGGAGTGAAAGGAAGCGGGAAAAAATAGGGCTACATAAAGGATGAGGGACAGCATGGGTGCGGATGTATCGGGTGGATAAGTTATTTGTGAAAATCTGGGAGCCCACCCACGTGTCTGGTTTTTAAGACAACAGCAAATATATTTGTTTGCTTTTGGAGGGGTCAGCTCAAGTTTAAGAAGAAAGGGAAAAAAGAAAGGATGTTTAAATGAAATCATCAAATAATATACTCCCAAAAAATATTGCATACGCGATTTTCGCTTGCTGCCCACAGCTAAGACAAGTTGGTCCCCGAAGTTATCGCTTGATTACTACACACTGGGGTACCATTTTTACAGATCACTCGACCGAAATAATTTCCGTTTTCAATTGTAGATTGTGGGTGGCATTTCAATCAATCTGAGGACTGAAAATAATTTCTTTAGAACTTCGCCGAAAATAGCGCTGTTGAAGAAACATTTATTCTCAAGAAAGGAATTTCAAACGGCATATATATATATATATATATATATATATATATATATATATATATATATATATATATATATATATATATAAATGATGACACCTGGGTAGGTAGTAGCTCGCTCATTAGGAGCTATTTATTTAACTTTTACTCTATTGAGCACTCTTCATTTTAACTTTCACTTTTATTTCGCCCTGTTCGGAGTTTTCTGGTGCTTTCTTTTTTCCATTTTTCCTCGGGTGCCAATTTATTTGAAAATTGTGCTATCCAGGTTTTTTTTTTCACCCACCGAGTGTAAATAGATTTACATTACACACACACACACACACACACACATATATATATATATATATATATATATATATATATATATATATATATATATGTATATGTATATCAAGTCATCCCATAAGTTCTGCTCGAATTTTACCTTTTTTTAAAACGAACGAAATTTAAAGAGTATTTTATGTCTAATGGAGCTGAACATTATTTTTATGTTTAGATGCATTTAAACTGATCAAATTTTATTTCAGAGAACAATAAAATTAATTTTTTTTTCAAATCTCTTTGAGACTGCCGTAAAGGAGGACAGATGCCACGCAACAGCTCAGTACTCGTTTCTTTGTTATCTTGTGTCGCAGTACTCCGCCCAGCTTTTGGAATGCCTCTTTGACCATCGCAATACGTCTATTGATCTCAATGTCGCAATTAGCGTCCTCTGTCAAAACACATCCCAGATATTTAACTTTCGCACCTCCTTGATTTTAGTGTCCCCGAATTGCAAATCGCATTTCGGGTTCATTCCACTAGTTCTTATTTTATTCAATACCGTTCAGTTATTGCTCGCCCGTTTTCATTGAGTGCAAGTACACAGGGATTGAACTCACAAACATTAGGTCACTTTATTCACAAACCAAAGCTTTCATTCATTACACCATTGGATAATTTGCTGCAGTGAACTTTGAGCTTCAAACCTAACCAGGTTGCTGATTAGGTTGCAACTGTTGCTGCTGATTTCTGTCGTAATTTGACTTCTGCCTATGTTTTGATTTCTTCTGCTGCCCATGTTTTCACTGCCGCTGCTGCTGCGGTTGAAGTCTTGCTGAAATTTGTCTGTCTTTATTAGCGCTTCCCTTATTGTATTTATTTCTATGCTGGACCTACTAAGCAGATCCTCATAGCTTAGTATATACGCTGGTATTTTTACACATCTACCTATCCAGAATTCTTCCTTATCCAGTATTTTCACTTCATTCCACATAGGTTGATGACTACGCCTTTCACTCCATACATGAACAACCATACCCGATTTCATTGTCTACGGCTTTTCGATGTCCCTTCAGCCTTACTTTTAAGGGGCGGGTTGTTTCGCCTTTATATTCTCAGCCACAACTGCAAGGGACTGAGTACACGCAATTCTTGGTCATATTCGCCAGAATGTTAGTCAAAGATTTCTCTGTAGAGTGAAACTGCTTCTGAATATTGTCCTGATGTTGTATGGACCGCAGATCTTTGGAATTATTTTCGATAAGCCGGATGACGTAAAGTAGACAGACAGTGGTAGTTTTCTGGCCTGTAGACATTGATGCTATGTTTTTATACAAAGATGAGGACAACAGTCCGAATATAAATAATGATAATTCCTCTTCCCAGAAATTCAGACATTTTTTTTCATTTGTAGTGAATTTCTCGAATGGGACCGATAGGTTTCTATTTTGTTTGTATAACGTCTATAGAAGTTTTAGACATAAGTGTTACGGAAAAAAAACAAAAAGTCCTATGTGTATGTTTCCCCGATCACTAAAATCTTAATTTGTTCGAGTCTACATTTAACCGTTATTTCACCTTTCTATCTATACAACGTAACCCTCTACCTCGAGTGGCGACCGCGCCTTGTACAGGATGAACCTTTCTGTAAAAAAAAAAAACATTCTTTCCTTCTTGTATTTATTATGTCTTTTGAGTGTCAAATTTTCATAGCCTTCTTTCCTCATTATAGCTTGGTTTTCAAGATATTACTCGCTGTTATAACATTTGACTCCTTGAGAAATCGTCTATGATGATATTCGAACCCAAATCTCTAAACTTCAATGCACTTAGCATTATATATTAGTATATAAGTAGAAAACAAGTCAGCGAATTTGTGAAATTAATACGAAAGAAAGAAAGAAAGAAAACTGAAGGGAAGTAAAAAAAATGAAAAATGAAAAGAAAGAAAAAAAGAAAGAAGAAGAATAAAAAGATAATGTAAAAATGGAAAGAAAAAATAAAAAGGAATGAAACAGACGATTCTTCCCACGAACCACTGCTCTGTAGAACAGACTCCCAAGAGGATGTTTCCCCGATCACTACAGTCTTAACCTGTTCAAGTTTAGCGTTAACCCTTATCTTCTTCTTCTCCTATCCGTATCTTATTTATTTTAAAATTTAATGGCAATTTACAAAGGGGACGATGCTGTGGAGAGCTATAGCTCAATAAGATGGAGATAGATTGAGACCAAGGAGACAGATATTTCTCTGCTTCCTATGGGGGAAAAATCTCTGTAATAAAAACAAGATTCAAGAACTCGTCGAAAGGTCGTTAATAACAAAACCTGCGGAATTTTACTCAGATGCTATAGAAGAGCTACCTGATAATTGTCACTGTTGAACTAGCGAAATACAACAGCCAGTTCTACTTTAACAGCTTCTTTTCCAGAACTTCTTGCTTTCTGGATAACTACAATCTTCAATTCTCGCCATTTTAGTTTTCTCATTCTCTTTTACTTTCACTCTCTGCAACCCTGTCTCTGCGTTCTGCCGTCACTATCACTTTGCTTGAGGTGAAATGATTAAAAAAATGTTAAAACGAGGATTGAAAATTGTTTCTCCTTAAAATCCGAAAAAAGGTCTGTACTATAATTTATTCTGACCATGCATCTCGACCTTTCTCACGGACTTGACGTGTCTTCTCTCCGTCTTTTCTATAAGTATTTTCATGGCAACCGTTCTAATGAGCTTTTTTTCCTGGTGCCCCGACTATATGAATTTGAGCATTCTACTAGATTGGCAGCTAGGTCTCAACATTTTACTGATGAACCTGCTTGTTGCTAGTGCCACTTTTACTTTAACAGTTTCTTATCCAGCACCTCCCACCTGTGTAACTCCCTTCCGATTTCTTGCTTCCCTGATAACTACAATATTTAAAAATATAAATGCAACATTACTCGACACCTTCTGTCTCCTGAAACACCGTTTCCTTTTTTGTCCTTTCCTAAATTCTTTCAATTCTTAGTCTTCTTAATCTCTCATTCACATTCTCTCCTTGTAACCCCCTGTGTTCTGGCGGCACTATTGCTTTGTTTTGTTTGAATCGATTCAAAAATATTATCAGTTTTAGGAATATTTTTTTTTTGGTGGTGGGGGCGCTAAAGTGGTATCGACTGATATCGCCAAACTCCCGGAGTATCTATGCCATAATTATATTGTTCAAATGCCTGCAGATCTAATGTTTAATATTACCTATCCTGCTGAATCAGTGTGCCAGTCGACTTCCTACAATTTGTTCCTTCTTAATTATTAGACGAGGTGATGTGACCTTTGGTGAAACAACTCTGCGATCTTTACGAAAGCTGAAAAATTGCGTCTTAATCGAATTTGAGGTGAAGCTTGAAAAATTATCTACTGAGCTGCTCGAAATGCTTCATCAGGCTTTTAGCGAATATTTTTTTGGGGGTCAAACACAGGTTTTCGGGTGTAGCCTGCGCTTCACGGCCGATCGAGTGTGGTACAAGATAATGAACAATCAGTGCTCCCAAGCATCAGAAAAAAACACCAGATATGGAAGAATTGTTCAATGAGGACTGCCAGTGAAAATAAACGCCGAAAAACTGCCGGCATTAAATAACCCATTTGTTGATATGCCGTAAACTAAAACAAACCAAACCAAACCATCGAAAGAAAATCTGTGGTTGTCTGGTAGATCAGATTTTCAGATTTCATCCATTTTATTCAAGTCGGCCCAGATTTTTTCAGATCCTTTTCAGTAGAATTTATTTCATTTTCTAGGTAGATAAAAGTATTCGAGAGATTTTATTGAATAACCCGAGAGAATTTGTATTGAGCCTTGTGGGTTGAAACTTATGAATTCAGTTTTAGAGGCATTGACATAGAGTCCAACATCAAATGCCTTCTATCTTAAGACTACCAAGTCTTTCGTCAAGCAACTCAAATAGAAAAGAAATTATAGACATATTCCTACAAACCCCCCCTTGCTCCTCTGGGTACCCACCCAATTTTTTCCCAGTTGGAACCGTATCGTTTTCTTCTACCCCAGCTTCCTCTTCTATCAACACTCACATCATAACTATCATAGTGAAAGCATTTTCCGTCTTAGAAACATCCTTTTTTTCGGTTGAATGATTAGCCAAGAATGTCAAAGACTCGCCTCATCGACTCTGATAGCGACAACAGCTCCCCCCACACACACACCGCAATACTTTCTTCCTTTTCTTCGTTCTATACCAGTTTCATCTTTTCCTGCTGCTTCCACTGTCTGTGAAGATGAAAGATATCTTGGCAAGGGTTTCTCTTATCAAGCAGCATTACAGACATTTTAGTTTTAACCTTTTTTTCCCCTTGTTCTGTGGCACCTTCTCATGTCAGTGATGAACTAAACTTCAACCTTTATGTCAAAGTCATTTCATGTCGAGCACCACCATTATCTTATTCAAACCAAGCCATTATTTTTCACCCCCTCGGCCGTTCTTTTCTTGTTTTCTAAGTTGTTTATTGGTATTTCTTTTCTTATAATGACATTTTCTGGTTTCGTTTTACTTCTCACCTTTCCCCACCCATTTTCTTTTCATTAATTCTTTTCACTTTTCTGAATATTGTTTTATCACCCAATTTATTTCTTCTATTTTTAATTGCCATTGATTCACGCATTTAACTTTTTCGCATTTGTTTTTGTTTATGTCTTTTTTATTACTATTATTTCATCCTTTGTCGTTTTTAATAAATTCCTTTCTATGTTCTTCACTTATTCTTTTTTAAAGGCTTTCATTTCAGCGTTTCTTTCCTCTTCGGATTTCTTCTTTGTTTTCTCTCTAAATACTTTTTTATTTATCCTCATTTTTCCTTTGACACTCCTTCCCTGCTAACGTCGATCAGGTTTTCTTTTTTTTTCTTTTTTCTTTTTTAAAGTTTTATTCCATTTCAACGTTTAAACGAGCTTTCGTTCTCGTCTGTTTTCCATTTATTTTAAATATTTTTTTTACATTTCTTTGAATTTCTTCTTTTTTTACATATCGTTTTATTTTTCTTTCTTTCTTTCTTTCTTTCTTTCTTTATTTTTCTAACTTGTATTTTTCTCCTTTCTTTGTATTTTTGTTCTTTCTTCCTTTCGTTAAATCTTATTTTTTCTTTTTCTTTTTGATTTATCTTTCTTTTTCTTTCTATCTATCTTTCTATATTTATTTATTTATTTTATTTCTGTTTCTAACACTTATTTTTTTATTTCTTTCTATTTTTTGTTTTTCTTTCTTTTTTCTCCATTTCCTTCTTTCTTTCCTTCTTTCTTTCTTTCTTTCTTTGCCTTTTTCTTATTTTTGTTTCATTTTTTTATCTTTTTTCTTTCCTTCTCTTTAATTTTCTTTCTTTAATCATTTTTACTAGCTCTCCATAACTAGTGGCAGAGAAGAGATGGATCATTCATATATTTTTCACGGGGTATTTGCGCGTAAGTGTATGTAAACGAACTGGCTTGGAATTCGAAACTGAAGAATTTCTCCTCCCGCACATCCAGGCTTAGAGCACCTGATATTCTGAAGTGGTCAACCATGTAAGACATTCTCTGGCCAAGCTCCGGTTTAGCCGTCATATGGTATTAACACACACACAAACACACACACACACACATACACAAATATATACTTTATCACTTTAAACTTTTAGTCGATACTTGTATTTGAGTAGACGCTCCTTTTTATTTATTAAAAAGTAGATCTTTTTTATCTACCGGCCTGAATGTTCGAGAAATAGTATTAAAGAAATAGATATACCCTCTTTAAATTCGGGTACTCCATAAAAATATCATTTAAAGTGATAAAATATGTCGGATTAATAAATAAAACCCATTACTTCTTCAGAAATCACATACACAAACACAAACATACATACACACAAACACAGACACACACATAGGATTAATACAAATAAAATTTTTAACCATTTTCTTTCATTTTTTATTCTTTCTCTTCTTTGTTTTTTCATTCTTTGTTCTTTCTTTCCCTCTTTGGTTTTTCTTTCCTTTTATATTCCCTTTCTTTTTTTCTTTCTTTCCTTATTTGATCCCTTGCCCTTCTTTCTTTCCTTCTTTGTTCTGCCTTTCCTTTTTTTGGTCTATTTTTCATTCTTTGTTCTTTCTTTCTTTCCTTCTTTGTTTTATCTTTTCTTCTTTCTTTATTTCTTTGTTCTGTTTTTCCTTCTTTTTTTTCTTCTTTGTTCTTTCTTTTCTCTTTTGTTCTATCTTAGCTTTTTAGTTCCTTCTTTCTTTCTTTGCTCTATCTTTCCTTCTTTGTTTCATTCTTTCATTCTTTCTTTCCTTCTTTCTTTCTTTGTTTCATTCTTTCGTTCTTTCTTTCCTTCTTTCTTTCTTTCTTTGTTTCATTCTTTCGTTCTTTTCTTTCCTTTTTTTTCTTTGTTTTTTCTTTTTTCGTTCTTTCTTTCCTTCTTTCTTTCTTTGTTTCATTCTTTCGTTCTTTCTTTCCTTCTTTCTTTCTTTGTTTCATTCTTTCGTTCTTTCTTTCCTTCTTTCTTTCTTTGTTTCATTCTTTCGTTCTTTCTTTCCTTCTTTCTTTCTTTGTTTCATTCTTTCGTTCTTTCTTTCATTCTTTCTTTCTTTGTTTCATTCTTTCGTTCGCTCTTTCCTTCTTTCTTTCTTTGTTTCATTCTTTCGTTCTTTCTTTCCTTCTTTCTTTCTTTGTTTCATTCTTTCCTTCTTTCTTTCTTTGTTTCATTCTTTCGTTCTTTCTTTCTTTGTTTCATTCCTTCGTTCTTTCTTTCCTTCTTTCTTTCTTTGTTTCATTCTTTCGTTCTTTCTTTCCTTCTTTCTTTTTTTGTTTCATTCCTTCGTTCTTTCTTTCGTTCTTTCTTTCTTTGTTTCATTCTTTCGTTCTTTCTTTCCTTCTTTCTTTCTTTGTTTCATTCTTTCGTTCTTTCTTTCCTTCTTTCTTTCTTTGTTTCATTCTTTCTTTCTTTCTTTCTTTCTTTGTTTTATTCTTTCGTTCTTTCTTTCTTTGTTTCATTCTTTCATTCTTTCTTTCCTTCTTTCTTTCTTTGTTTCATTCTTTCGTTCTTTCTTTCCTTCTTTGTTCTATCTTGCCTTCTTTGTTCTGTCTTTTCTTTTTCTTTCTATCTTTGCCCGTTTATTCATTCCTTATTCTATCTTTCTTTTCTTCTCAGTTCACTCTTTCCTTCTTTTGTTCTTTCTTTCTTGCCTTCCTTCTTCTATCTTATCTTCTTTGTTCTGTCTTTCCGTCTTTCTTTCCTTTTTGTTCTATCTTTTCTTCTTTGTTCTCTCTTTCTTTCTTTCTTTCTTTCTTTGTTTTGCCTTACCTTCTTTGTTCTGTTTCTTTCGACCTTGCTTTCCTTCTTGCTTTCTTTCTTTCTTTCTTTCTTTCTTTAATTCCTTCCTTGTTGTATATTTCCCTCTTTGTTCTTTCTTTCCTTCTTTCTTTGTTCTTTCTTTGGTTTTCTGTTTGTATTGATATCTTCTTTCCATTTTTTTCTTTCTTTTACTTTTTTCATTTTGTTATGAACGTCTTTACGTTATTGACCGCAAAATGAAATTCAAAATTATTTTTAAAATACTGGGGGTCACTGAATTTTAGTAAGCTTTTCCATTTAAGATTAGAAAATATAGTTTTTATTCAATAGAAATTAATTCAGAAATTTAAAAGATTTAAAAGTTCATAAATTATTATAATTAAAGTTTTTTTTTTTAATTCTTGTAAAAATGTATTACTCATCGAAATTTATTTCGTAAGACAATAGTGTCCTGTTATATAGGAACTAGCAGCATGGCCCGGAGTTGCCCGTGCTTGATTCAAAAATCGTACGACGCATACAGCAATCGCTATCATTTGACTTAAAATATTTTTGCCCTTCCTTGCCTTTAAAGGAGTGCCCTTGCCGTGCTGATGTTGCTACATGCCTTACTTCTTGCCTATCACACACTGCGAATTTTTTCTAAGCTCTATATTAGACATTAAATCAGTTACGAAAAAAGAACTAAACAAAATGAACACAAAACGATCAGGTTTAAAAAAGGTCTCGTAACTGGAAAAACCAAATGAAAAAAGAATGTTAACAACAAATACTTTTTCACACACAACCCAGTCCTGCGGAATCAGAATCAACGTTGAATTTAAGCAAGCGAATGAGCCAACTGGAGTAAAGTGCCATGCAGATTTAAATTTTTCCCACTTGTGACGAATGCAGCTGTCGATTTTTTTTTTTTTTTTGCATGCTAGTTGACATTCGTGTCAGTCATCTGTTGGCTCTCACGCTGGCCATTAGAATCTTCCTGCCTATTCGTGGCAGCCAGCTATTGGCTCTCACTCTAGCCAGTAGAAAATGGCCGCAAAACTACATGAAAACTGCCGTAGAAGCATGAAAAAATTGGTTATTTCCACTATCGATGGGAGTTAGGAAATGCAAAGTGGGTCTTGGCCTTCCCGCTAACTTGGGGCATGTGCAGGAAAATGTCAAAAATTGCGGCCGTGCATTCGTTACACACACACACGCACACACACACATCCTGCCTTTTATAGACAGAGATAAAATGTCGCTGCCGAAACATGAATTTGAACACAGATCGCCAGTCAACAAACACAGGCGATCCCATTATTGAATTAAGTAGAACATGTGGCCATTGAGTTTACGCTAATATGAAAGGTGGTGTGACGTCTAATTGATCGCTATTTCTACTCTATCCTCTATTACTATACGGACCACCATTTCTAGTTAATCCTCTATTACTATATGGACCGCTATTCTCTACTCTATTCACTATACTATTTCTCTATTCAGATCACTATTCGGTGGTTACTTGTCGAGCAAGTATTACAAAGTCTCTACTACAACGAGCATTACGAAAGTGACAACGAGTTTTCGTTGCCATTACAAAAAGTGAAAGCGAGTGTTCGTTTATATCACAAAATGTTCATAATATATTTTATACATAAAAATTAAATATCTTATTTTTATTACATTTTTTACGATTCAGAGCATATTTACTGTAATTTGGGGATCCTGTTTGACCCCCAAAATTTGATGCTTTCAATTCTCTAAGGACTTGTTCTTATAACTTTATGAACATTAAGCAGGACAGAAAATAATTTCTCGATGATTTCATAAGTATTGAGTAATAGATAGAAAAAAATACTCTAACCAAGATTTTCTTTAAAAAAAAAAGAAATAAAACATTTAAAATTATTTGAATTCATTTATGAATAAGTCCTGAAAGTTTCATTTAAATTTGGAGTTTATATAATTTTTGCTAGGATTTAAAATTAATGGGTTTCTCACTGCAAAAGAAAAGTTCAAATTTCCCATACAAATTTATGGTCCCACGTTGAAGCCAAGAAAACTACATTTTAAGCAAAATTTCGAAGGTTGTAAAAAGGATTAAAAAATAATTTCTACATAAAAAAAAATTATTTGATCTTTCCTCTTAATAATAACACGAAAATTCTGACGATAAAAGTTTGTTTTTATTAGGTGGAGGGATTTTTTCAGCGTGTATGCGCATATTTTAGCTAATCTTTCGACACATATATCTACACGCACACACATAGACACGCACATACACATACGGCGTGTAACAGCAAAATTGTTCAAATCGTGTAACAGCAAAATTGTCCAATTGATAGATTAAGATTTGAACCGTTGTATCTTAGAAATGATTAAAGATATCTTACAGAAATTATCCGAGGTTTTTATAATGCTATTGAACTTTGAGTAATAACAATATATAAATACTCTCCAAGCTTAACAAAAGAATCGTGATGAAGTCGATCATAAATAAAAACATGTTCATCATTAATTAATCATAGCTAAGGATCGGAACATCATGAATGATTGAAATAAAGTTCAAATATATTGATATTATTCCAGGGTGATTATTATCAACTTATTGAAGATATCCTTTGCCCTCTAACCTTATAACCTTCTGTCCTGGAGTAAGTAGGTACCTCACAGGATTCACGTAAGATTTCATTTTCATGTCTTAATTTCACTGCTCTTTGGACTGCCATAGCTGAAACTCCTTTTTCCCGTGTCAAACGTCATATAGATTGAGTTGGCTCTTTTCTAATTGATCTATTTAGCTCTAAGTTGAAATAATGATCACTCTTTCAGTTGTGACCTCCTGATCCAGATTTTCTTTCTACTGTTTCACTTTTTAAATTTATTCACCATTTCCTTGATGATTCTTGAATGGACTTTGATGATGGAATCCAATTTACAAATATTCTTACCGTTACTGAAGGCCTGAATGATTTTCTCCTCTCAACATTGCTCAGTTGGGAAGACGATGAGTCTGATAAAAACAATTTTAACCTGTTGCATTTCTAGGTAAATAACTCAAAGTTTTCTTTTTCCATTTTTCTTACGACAAATGTTGTCAAGATAGCTAAATGTGTTATGTGAAAATCTGTAAAAATAAACTGAATTATATTAGTGTTTTTAGATATTAAACATTTTGTGGGATGGGTAATTATTCAGTTACACGACTTGGGCAAATTAGGTGTTACACCCCGTGTATATATATATATATATATATATATATATATATATATATATATATATATATATATATATATAATTAATGAAAAACAGACCATTTTAAGGTACTGTTACAATAATTTATTTCACCAAAATCCTTTTTAAAGGACTCCGGATCATCAGGTAACACTTCCAACAACGAAATGAAAGGAAAAATGGGATTAGAAATCGATGGGTAGTGTAATTTTTGTAATTTAACAGGGGGTGTGAGAGTGGTAGGTAAAGAGAGTATAGGGAAGGGTTAATTTCATATCTCTCTTAAACATTATTTTATATTGTGGTAGGAGTGACCGAACCTTGACCTATTTAGATGGTTAACTTAACGGAAATGATATGTAGGAATGGGAGGGGAGAAAAGAAAAAGAAAAAAGAGAGGAGACAGACGACAGTAATACCGATATATCCAAATGAGTGTTACGGCAAAGAGAGAGGGGGAGAGGGAAGTGAATTTCTAATCCCATTTTTCCTTTCATTTCGTTGTTGGAATTGTTACCTGATGATCCGGAGTCCTTTAAAAAGGATTTTAGTGAAATAAATTATTTAAATGGTACCTTAAAGTGGTCTGTTTTTCATTAAATATTAGCTCTGTATTCACATTGAGCTCTCAGCATTTCATCCTCCTTGGAATTACCCAATCGGTTCACTAAGTTCTTCATAACTTATATATATATATATATATATATATATATATATATATATATATATATACATCAGTGTGTGTGTGTTTGTTTGTTTGTGTGTGCGTATATATATATATATATATATATATATATATATGACAAAGTATAAAGAGTTTACTTGTTTACGCGTTTCGTCCTTCAGATTTTATTTTGTTATATTGGTAGGATTACACATGCGCAAAACAAGAGGGCTGCTGGGATATTTAGATTTTTTTATCTAGCCGAATTCATTTAGGTTCTTTTTCTTTCCAGTTATTTTTTTGGGGTGGGGAGGGAATTGTTGAGATGGACTACATTCCTTAGCTCCATTAAATAGATAGTCTGAAAAACTGAAATTATTTCAAAGAAGCCATCAAAATATGGAAAAATAATCATTAAAAATCTTAGTGTTTATATGAGAATGTGTATGAGAAAACGAGATATATTTTTATATATCAAGAAAAGTACTGGGGGAAATTTTATGACGAAATGGATAAAAAGTTTACTTGTGACGCGTCATCGGACTAAATTTATTATGTTGCTAAGTCTACACAGGCGATCGAACGACGGGTGCCAGGAATTTATTATATTTTTTTATATATATATATCTAGCCGAATTCATTTAGAGTGTTTTTCTTTATCTTCCATCACTATTGTAACTAGGTATTCTACACTGTGATATTAGAAGAAATGTTGAAATGTTGTAAGAGCCCGGATGCAAATTTACTGTAGATGACCTTGCGATTAAAGCACTCTCTAGACATTTTAGTGAATTATCTCCTCCTTTCATCAGAGTAGCATTTTTTATGTCAAAATTCTGGTCAGTCTCGTTACGGTGGGCAACCAACTCATTTGGTGTATTATTTTGTAAAATGACTCTTTTATGGTCATATCTTTTCTAAAATTCCCAGCACCCTTCTGCTGTTCACATGTGTAGTAAAAAGTTTAGTCGGATGAAGTCCTGATTAACGAAACGCATCGCAAGTAAACGCTTTTTATTTTGTCATACAAATTTAATACGTTTTTTTATATATAAACATATATATCGTTATATACGAGATTTTAATCGGTATTTCCAGTTTATTTCAAGTTATTCCGCGTCTTTTCCAGTCCGCATTTTATTCCCTTTTGTACACGGAAGCATTCATCAATTTAACGTTCTTTTATTTTACACTCGTAC